ATCCGGACGTCACCTGTAGCGACACCAAGAAGATCGCCGTCACTACCACAATCCACCACTCGTAGTAGTAGTAGTACTCTGGCCAGAACTCCTACATCCAGCAGCAAAAAGAAAAAGAGATCCTCCTCCTCGAAACGTTCCTCCAAGAAGGATTCACCCCCTCTTCCTACACTCCAACTTTGGACGACGAAGAATCGGATCCAGTCAAATACTTTCCCGCCATTCAAGCGGCTCAGGCAAAAGCTAAAGCAGCTGCCGAAGCTAAAGCCAAAGAAGCTGCTGAAGCAAAAGCCATCAAACGACAACCTTCTGTGGCATCGGCTTCTCTGCAATCCTCCTCGGCTTCCACCAAAAAGATTGCCACAACCAACACTAAAAGAAGAAAAAGAACAACAAACCCAAAACAAGGGCAGCACCAAGTCCCGTTCCCTTTGATGAAGATCCTACCATTATGGAACTGGAAAAGGCATTTTCCAAGGATGTCACAGAGTACACCATGGACGAGGAAGACGACGATGATGATGATGATGACTTGGTGGATGACGACGAAGTCGACTTGTTTGACGAAGAACTCAATCATGGCTGCGGGGTCACCACCACTCCCAATGGTACCACAGTAGTCAGTTGCAATCCGGCGGCCGCCGGATGCGGAAACCCTGCCTTGCCCACCACCAACGAAGATGTATCGCGACAATTGCTCGAAGCCTTTAACTGCGGCGATGATTTCACAGAGTTTAGTGGGTCGGCCGTTCACCATGCCAAACAACGATCCTGTCGACTGGTGGATGCCTTTTACGATAATACGTGTGGGAATTACAGAGACGCCGTCCACATGAAACGACCCTATTACGATGAACGGTTTGCGCAGCGGTTCATAAAGGTAAGAGAAGAAAGCGGCGTCTTTTTGTTCGTTGCGTCTGTCTCTGGTACTTCGGTATGGACACTAACCACTGTAATGTCGCTCCCTTCCAAGGATATCATGGAAGAAGGATTGAACGTGCTTTGGCATCTCCCCCCTTCCGACGAAGACTCCACATTGGACAGTGCCAACTGGTCAGGACGAAGTGTTGTCATGACCGTTAAAGCGGGGTCGAGTTACTCAACAAATAGCAATGACGTCATGCCCAAATTGTGTTGGACTACTCTGGGCGGGGGAAAGGATGAGAGCAAACTAGCTCGGTGTCTTGTTCCTTTGCTCAAGATTCAATCTGTGTCAACGTTTCGGGATGCTCCTCCCGTGGTGGGGTCTCTTGGTGATGAAATCAAAGAAGAGGAACTGACGGGAACGTCGTGTGGGGTCAATTTGAAACCTGTGACTGTGGACGAGGAAGATGTGTGTCTGTTTGCCATTACCACCGAGGAAGGTGATGTTCAAGTCTTTGAAGCAGCATCATCACGAGAACGTGATGTATTTGTCACTGGTCTCAAAAATGTGATTGCTCGATTGAGCTTTCATGTCATTGTCGGAGATGCCGGTGCTTCCTCGGAGCTCTATTATCAACACGACAAGCAGTCGCCCGAGGGACAGTTGCCCTCGATCCCCAGTAGTCCCGCCCAAAATATGAATCGAATTGCCCACGCACTGTTGGATTGACGATCGATTGATGCAACAGTATTTATTTGTTGACTTGGGCGTGGTAACACGAAGACTCAACTGTAACCAACCACCCTGTAACGCACGTAACAAGTTCCTCTATAAATGCAGCAAGTAATTCCGTGATTCCGTGTCAATGGTGTGAACGCAGTTTCGAGTTCTCTATCCCGAACCATGCCCGGAAAGCTCTGCCATCTCACACGGTACTAGTAGACTACAGTGTACATGGAGAAACACAAGCCATCCCAGTCCCCACCCAGCTTTGAGCCATCCAAGCACTTCCAATACTGTAGCTAATAGCCTGCACCGCTGACCCCCACGGAACAGGTCACTTCCACCTATTTTGCCGCTGTTATGTTATACCACTGCTTGTTGTTTGCCAGCATCTCATGCCTCGTTTTCCTCCCATACCTCGGTCCCTAACGGTACCGCATCCTTAGCCTGCGCGGCGAATAACATGCGCGTAGTGCACACAACTTGACTTCGAATTCGTGCTTCCATTCAAAACATGTATGTTTGAAACGGATCTGATGACGGCGCGCCTTGAGGGCTTGGGGGGAGCATTTCGCCTAATAGTTCAAGCCACATCACATGATCGCAGACTCAACTCTTATAAAAAAGCTACTTTTGTTGCAACAATGAGTTCTCATAACGGAATGAACATGGGCGCAGGCTCCCCACCCTCCCAGGAACGAAAGAGGAAAGAAGCCCCAGGAACGGTTGACCAGGGCGTCAGCAACAAGAGGGCGGCAGCGGTGGGTTCTGCGCCAATACCGGAAACAGCAAACGCAACACTATTGTCAACACCAGCACCGACAAATCAAGTCAATGACGAGTGGAAAGAAAAGCTAGACATGTCTCCACCACAGAAAAAAGATACCACTGTCCATGATGGAACGACTACCGCAGAGGACGCGTCTATTGCGGAGGTGGCACAAAAAATGATGGCCGACGGCATGGGTGATTTTAAAGTGCCACAAGGTGCTCCAGCCTCGGACGAAAGCAAGATTGTCCACTTTCTTTATGGCATTGAGTTTGGCAAGGACTTGAGTAGGGATGCACGAGTTGCTCAAATTCGAGAATTTCTTGACCAAGACGCCAAGCCACGAATGCTGCACCTTCTCCAAGAAGATAGCGACACGACAAACTGTCCCGACAATGTCGATCTATGGCGTGAGATTCAATCAGTCGTCCTTCGCTACAGCAAGCAAGACAATGATGTTACGATCTTTGACGGCAAGAACATGCCCCTTGTGTTGCGTATTCAAGCTACCAAGAACTGCTATCAGCATGCTACTGGAGGCACCGTGGGCTACAAAATTGCTTTCCACCAAGGAGACAACGAGAACAAGGTCTACACCGTGGACGTTGCCAAGTTCATGTGCCGCCAGTATAATGATCGTAAGCTCAAGCGCCGTGTACTACAAAACAAAGGGGGTGCTTCGAAAAGGCTGTTAGATAACCAATCGTGTGCAACGGTGCGCCAAAAAAGTCACCGTGGAACTTTGATTGGATTTTGACAGACTGCAAATAATTCTGGTCGTTCCCACTTTGACCCATGGATGTTTCCGCCACTTCCCAGCTCTACTGGCTTCAAATATCTGACATCATCCACTCTTTTAATTCGTCGACCAACCGTCTGCATCCAACGGAAAACTGTGGCGATGTTTGTTCTGGAAGGTGATGTCCTAGAAGAAGACACAAGCAGCGGCAGAGGAGTCCAATGTACATTGCAGTCATCAGAGCAAGAGGGAAAGACTTGCTAGTAGAAGCAGTGCTATATAGGGATAGTGCGATAGTACCTTGGGTAGAATGGCGTTGACCGAAATGGCGGATTCTCGAAACGAAGATTTTTCTGCAGATCCCACCAGTCGCTTGTTGTACTGGCGGTCTTCCTCTTCCTTCTCGGACAATGGAACATCAACAAGCGGCTTTTCGAGACTGCTTGCCTGCTGTGGAATCTCAAGGAAACCGATAGCGTCCGATCTGGCCGCGAGCACATCCGTCAGCAGTTCGGGCAATGAGAGTGATACCCCAGCCGATTTCGATGCAGCGGCAACAAAGCTGCTAAAGGGGAGCCTTTCTGAGGGTAGCACTAGTAGATGTTTCACTCATGTAACTCATATTCGACAGACGGAGACATGGGATTGTGGTAAGAGGAATGTCAAGATCTTCGTTCTACTCAATTCGGTCTTTTCTCAAACTGCCTTGTTACTTGTTACTCTTCTGTTCTTTTAGGAATTGCCTGCTTGATGATGGTGTTACGATGGCTTCGCTCGAAACAAGAAATACATGATTCCTCAGCATCAAGTCAGCCATCCTTCATATCAACGCCCCTGTCACCCTTGGAAGTTATCGAACGCAAATTGCTCTTGCAAAAGGTAGGCACACAGTCCATTTGGACGGTGGATCTTGTCATGCTCCTCGAGGCCACGCTCCTTCAAAACAGTTCTGCTGACGACAGCAGTGGCAACAACAATCATCCCAGTCACAACAATACAACCTACCTCTTCGCTTCACAAGTTATGGGTGCCGATCTGTCCCACAGTACGGCTGGTTATTACCAAAATGCCTTTGCCGCAGACAGTGTCCGAGTGCAACGGATATGTGACGACATGATCCAGCTCCAGCTACCCATGCTTTGCCCATTTGACATGGCGTTCCATCAATTGATACGTTTAGTTTCTCGTGAGAAATGCATAGCCATTGTTTTGGTGGACAATGGCATTCTAATGAAACGAGGAGACGACAATCAACAACACAATAGCAGCATTTATATGGGCCATTACGTGATTGTCAGTGGGATCAGTCAAGACGCGGATCACTTAGTGGCTGCGGCATACAATGAGGACGAGAATGCCATGACACTCTTGGAGGATGACGTGGACCGCTATTGTCTAGTAGTGGCGAATCCCGGTGTTGCAGATCCGGTCATGTTTGTCACCCCCAGGAAGTTCGAACAAGCTTGGAGGGCAGACGGTACTGACTGCGATGTCCTGTTTGTGACAAAACATGAGCCGGTCACAATGTGATGGCCCGGATGACATGACGCGACAAAAAGCTTTCCTTCGCACGGGCAACGAGTCCGGTGCCATGATTACCAGATCACTCTGGGGTGGCTGCTTAAATACGGCATACGACTTCAACGAGAGACAATCTCTTATCGTCTGCGCAGCACTCCTCAAGGAACCGAGAACTCGACTTGGTGAACACAAGGGCATCCCCTGGAGAAAAGTCCACATGAATTCAGCAGGTTGACGTGAACCAGAAGAAAATCCTGTGCCATAACACAGCATAGAGACATGTATCAATAGCTAGCTAATGGATGAAAGAAATCCAGACATTCAGAGTCCTCAGTACCAGCCTGCCTCCCATCGTCTCCATAGACCCCCTCCGGATTCTTGCCAAGGATAAATGCCTGTGCGAATCCCATGTCGCCTCTTTCCATCCAAACCTCTTGTGCAACGTCTTGCTACCATCAACGCCAGCAAAACTTAATGTTCGTACTCCCAAATGATACATCAGGGACACAAGTTTCATTTGTCCTTATTCAAGCCACTCATTATTAGTGTCTCGCGGATACCACAAAGTCAAGTCCTTTGGCCCCTTTGTTCCTCAAGCTGTCCCCCTGATCCCACAGAACCTACTAATACTCCAGCTACAGTAGAGACTAGCTAGTCCAGAATTCCCCTAAGCCTGCCACCCCCTCTGGGTCCCAAAGGTAGCTTCTTTTCTTTTTAGCCCCCCTTTCTTCTATTCCCACGTGTTGCACGAGTCGAGTCGAGTCAACTGCCTGTCCGCCTATGCGTGAAATTTACGCCATGAGTGATGAGTGCCAGATGGGCGTGCCCGTCCCTTGAACGTTGGGATCGAGTGCAGACTGTCCAGCTTCGACCATGAGAGTGAGAGAGATCATTGCGCCGCCGTCTTTCTGTTATCAGTTCATTCTTTTGGTTGGATCCTGTAATCACGGTACCGGTAGTCTAGTCAATATCCTGCAAGCTTCGAGATAGCTGCCGTCCATTATCTGAAGGAAAACAAGCTGTAAGATTCGTAGAAGAATACCCCAAAGGGTAATCTGCTCCACCATGCCCACATCCAATCAATCCGCGGGTGGTGGCAGTGGCGGCATGGGGTCATTAAGCGTTGATGAAGAAGCCGCGTCACTGGTTCCTACAGCCACCAGTATAGAAATTCCTTCAGCGGCAGTGGTGGCAGTGTCGCATACCCCTACGAATGCCATCTTGAGGTTGGCAGTAACCACCTTTTGGGAAGAAGTTTGGGCGTCCACGGAACTTTTGTTCCAGAGCAAGTTGACATGGCTGCTGCTGATGGGGCCTATAGCGGTGTTTGGTGACTCCACGGGGCTTGTGGGAGAAGCCACCTGCTTTACGTGCGCTGGATTGGCTCTGATCCCCTGTGCTGAACGGTACGTAAAGATATTGATTGAAAAGATTTGTTTTGAAATGGATGGTTGATCTCATTCATTGTTATCTTGGTTTTTTGTCTTGTTGTAGACTTTCATTTGTCACTGAACAAGTAGCAGAACACACTAACGGTACCATTGGAGCCTTGCTGAATGCAACATTCGGGAACGCTCCTGAACTATTGATTGCCACGGCGGCTCTACGGTCTGGGTTCTACCGTGTGGTCCAGCTTGCCATGCTGGGCTCTATCTTGACCAATTTACTATTTGTCTTTGGAATGTCCTGCCTCATTGGCGGAATGCGGTGGCAAGTCCAAGAAATTCGCGTCATTTCGGGCAATGTCTCGGTGGGGATGCTCTATTTGGCCACTGCAGGATCCCTCTTGCCAGCGGCCTTGTTCTTATCGGGACAGTTGCCTAGCAAGGCGCTCAATGATGATGTTCCTACCAAGGAGGAACTTGTTTTTTGCAGGATAAATGCCTTCGTCATGGTGATTTTATACCTATGCTACTTGTTGTTCCAGTTGGGAACACACAAGGAGGAATTTGATGATAACAATGAACAATCTACCGCAAAGCTGAATCACCCCGCCAAAAGGAATCTCTGGTGTCAACGTCGTGTCTTTCGTGGAATGAACAGACAACAACAACTCCATGTGGAAACACCAACGTCTGCTTCTATCCCTCCTCCTAGGAGACTGGACAAAGTGCACAAATCAAGTTCCAACTTTGGAACCAAACGCAGCATTGCAGAGGAATCTCAATCATTATCCAGCAAGAGCAGTCTGAGCGATACTGAATATGATGAAAGTGATTATCCAGAGAACCAAGGCAATATACCATTACAACCACTTTCATCGCCCAAGTCTAGGAGACGGCGGAGGTTACGGAAGCGAAAGGGCGACTCTGGAGGGTTGGACAGGTCGTCCTCCTCGCATGGATCGGATGATAGGCATTCTCTGTCAAACGGGCTGAACCCTTCGAATCCAGGTACGCGTATTGTGCCCCATGGAAACTAACTGGTTACCCTTGGCTGTACTAATCTATCGCTCCCAATTGCAGTTCCACAACAAGCGCCACCAAACGCCCATGAACCCCCACTGTTATCATTTCGTGCTGGTTTACTCTGGCTGTTTATCATCACACTGTGTATATCCTCCATGAGTGACATTCTTGTGGATACGCTCGAGGGATTTGCACAACGATCCAACCTCAGTCAAGTATTCACTTCGCTGGTGGTGGTACCCTACTTTTCGAACATTGCCGAGCAAGCCAGTGCGATTTTGTTTGCCTATCGAAATGAAATGGATCTTTGCATTGGTGTCACTGTGGGCAGTGCGGTTCAAATTGGGGCACTGGTCATGCCTGGAAGTGTACTGATTGGGTACATGATGGATCGTTCCATGACCTTGTACTTTCATGGGTTTGAAACGATGTGTTATTTGTTTGCTGTGGTAGTCGTGGCGGCTGTCGTACAGGCAAGTCGAGAAAATTGCTTGTCACGCCCGTCAAAACGCCATCATTATGGCAGCATGCCGCTCACATATCGCTTTGCTTTTCCTGCATCTCCCACAGGGCGGCACAACCAACTGGTTAGTGGGTGCCACGATGATTGGCGTCTATGTCATGATGGCAGCAGGCTTTTGGGTCCACGAAACGGAAAACCTCTCGATCGATGCAGAAATGGTGATTCGAAATACAACCAATGGTGGACTATAATTGATCACATGTGCACATAATGTGTTTGTCTGCAAGTGACAGCTGCTTGCTGGTACACATTATGTACATGAGGAAAGATGCATTGGAAAGTTTTGTATACGAACAACAGAATAATAGTTTAAACTGGCTAGATTACATCACAAGCAGCTCTCAAAGCAAAAACCGAACGTCACCAGTACCGGTGCGGTTGCCTACTATCTGCCTATAAGGTACTGTACCCTTACATCCTGCAGTGCGTCGGGTTGATAGGAACTGGCGTCCACTACGAGGCAAGTCAATGAAAGTGATTAGGGTATCGATATTCCTAGAATACTACTCCTAGCAAGTTGAGAATCGATTCAAGATGATGGACTGTTGCTGTTGTTGTTGTTGCCGTTCTTGTTCAAGTCCCGTGCAGTGGCGACACGTTGTTTATCTCGACGTTCTGGCCGACGGTATTCAATTTCTGGATTGTTTTGACAATAGTTGCACCATCGCGCCGCCGTAAAGAGAAAGTCGGATAGCCGATTGATGTACTTCATGACATTGGGGTCACAAACCCCGTCGTTGACCAGTGGCACGACACTCCGTTCGGCCCTTCGACAGACCGTTCTGCACACATGAAATTGTGCCGCCGTGACAGATCCTGTCGGCAAGATGAAATTCCGGAGTTCCGGTAGAGACTCTGTCATGATATCAATCCAATCTTCCAATGCTTCTATGTGATCCATATGCATTCCTCCTCCCACTCCATCTGCCTTGAATTTTGTATCAGCATCATCGTCGTCGTCCTCGTCATCATCATCATGATGGTTTGACACTGGTTTGGCAATATGCGACCCCGCATCAAAGAGTCGACTCATGACCTGTAGCAACCATTCTGGCAAGTCTCCGTAGTCTACCGATGTTGATTGTCGTTCCACCAAAAACGCATGTGCCACTCCCACGACAGAACAGAGTTCATCGACGGTCCCCATGGCTTCAAAAGCGGCATCATTTTTGGATCGTCGTTCTCCCGTGAGCAATTGGGAAGTTCCCTTATCGCCAGTTCCAGTGTATGGAACATTTTTGTCCGTGAGTCTACCTCCATGGGTTCCACCCTTTTTCTTTTTCTTGCCGTTGCTTTTACCATTCACTTGTGGTTGTTGTTGTTGCAGTTGTCGATTGCGTTCCAGTTCATCGAGTCGTAGTTGAATAGATCCTGGATCTCCTGACTGGACCTTGGGAGTCCGTCGAATGGACGGATTGGGCACGTTGGACCATCCATAGGGGCAATGGCGACATTGATTGCCACAGCATTTCCCCCGTTGCAAATGGACCAGTTCGGTAAAGCATGTAAACCCAGTGGCGGGATCCACATAGGATTTGGAGCCCTGGAGTAACGCGTGTTGGTGAAGATCTTCAATGTCTTGCATGGTTGCTGTTGCTGTGGTGTTGTCTCCGCGCTGAATCACTCGTCGTAGACTACTACTAGTAGTATTTGGTCTGAAAACAACTTTTTGGAATGGGGTTCTCAAGGACAAGTGTCTACCAGCTATGGAACTGGTTCCTCGTTGCTGCTTCAATGACAACAGCGGTAAGTTAGTACATGTATTGTGCTCCAACAGACCAAGGACACGTCTTGTGGACTGTGGCACATCTAGTAGTATTCTGTGGCTCATTGGTTTCCACATCATTCATCGGATAGATGGCTCTTCATCTTTGCGTGCAACATCATCACTTTCGAGAAAGAACGTGCTTCAGGCCTTCCAAGCAATAATACAGCAAAGCCGATTAAATGGAAGTGAGTTTTAACCAGCAGAGCTAAAACACCTTGGAGCCACTCATTTCCTCCAGAAGCAAGTCTCATTTTTCTCGCCACCGCATCACATCACCTCCTTTGCTACAGTAACAAAGAGCAACAAACACCATGACCAAGACAGAGAAGGATGAGACGGAGATTCCCAAGGCAGAAGCAGCTGCCAAACGAGAAGGATCTGACGATGATTCGGTATCCTCAGAAGAAGAAGAGGACGACTTGGGCCTGGAGGGTGTCCTGATTCGAAACCCAGATGCCAGTTCCTCCTCGTCGTCCGAAGAGGAAGACGACGAAGAGGACCAGAAAATGCCTGCCAAAAAATCAGATGATAGCAAATCCAACAGCAAAAGTGATAAGGACAACAACAACAACAACAACAACAATCGAAAGCGTCCATCTTCCAGTCCACAGCAAAAGCAAACCAAAAAGCGAACGAAAAAGACACGACAAGCAGGACCAGAAATTATCAATGTCGAATTCACCTTTCACGATTTTGACGAAAAATTCTTTCACGGCGTCAAGAGTCTGTTGCACGAATCCAGTCCGGTCTATCAACTCCATGCATCTGCTTTGACGGATTTAATGATTGAAAATATTTCAGTGGGCACTGTCTGTTCTACTGAAGGAGATGGCGTGAATGTTTTTGGATTTGCGTCCATTTTGAATGTCACCACCTACGGCGACAAACCATGCATTCAGTACCTAAAGAAAATATGTCTCGACCATTGTCCCGCCGAGCGAAAACAGGAAATGCAGCATGTTTTGTCGGGAAAAACAGCTCGACCGGCTGGATTCTATTTTCATGGACGCATGGTCAATATGCCACTCGAAATTAATGAAGTATTGCAACAGCAACTCGTATTGGATATGGATTGGGCCGTCGAAAATGCAGAAGGGGGAGAAGCTGAACGCAAATCTCTCGATTTTGGAGCATTTGTACGAATGGCACCGGCCCACATGGACGGAGGAGCACTCATATACCGATTCTTTGACGATGAAATATTCGCAACCAATGCCGAGTTTGTATACAATGTCCCGGCTCCCCAAAGCTTTGGATCGGAAGAAAAACTAATGGTCAGTATCATTGTCCTCACCAAAACTGGGCATCGAGCGGCAATGAAGGAACTCAAACAAATGGTGGGATCTACTGGTAACTCTAGCTAGTTAGTTGATTAATTATTCGATTCTGATACAGTGGTGGAAGACGCTAGTCCTATTCCTGTAGAGGAGAAATTGGTTGTCTAGCTAGAGAACTATCTAAACAGTAGCAATTTCTGCATCTCTGTACAATACCATGGTACCGCAGTATACACCAGCAAAACTGTCTTCCTCGAGTTGTTGCCCATGTGAAAAAGGTTTTTGAGCACCCCCACTCCTCGAGAGCTTGCTGGGCAGCCATTCTCGAGCTTCGTCCTTCCACAGTACAAAATCCAATCCTTTGCTTCAATCACCAAAAGCATCCCTTAGGGTCTCCATCACATCTTGGCTGGGCGAATTGTGGGGTATGGGTGAATTGTGGGGTCTCGGCTCCCTGGTATTGACCGTAGACTCTTCCTCCCAGTTCACCTCCCTCAGAACGGAAAAAGTATCGTCAGATTGAGGAGTGTAACCCACGGTTCGAATCGTAGCTGAACGCGCATCAAACAAAAGACTTCGACAGCAACCAGAAGACAAGAAATTGATGATCGTCCTTGGCTTGGAGGAGTCATCGCTGCGGAGAGCGTCGTCGATGGTTGGTTCTACCGAAGAGACCATTTCTGCCTGGATGCGTTCGTTGACGCTGCAGTGGATGAGACGGAGAAGGACTCCAACCACAATGCTATTCAGCAGCGCACCCATAATCAAGACCCAGACATTAGGTTCCACAGACGACCTGACGGTGAAGCACGTAGCATCGGTGGCATCATCCAATGCACTTGCAAAGCGGTCATGAATGATCTTCTTGATCAAGTCGCATCGATGCCCGACAATGAAGGATGCAAAGGTAGAGATTTCAAGGAGTGACGCAATGATAGAAATCACAAACACTTCAACGGCGCTCCATGCGTTCGCGATCTCTGCAAGAACAACGAAAAACCGCTGTGTTTCCAATCTCATGGGGACCAAGAAAAGCACCAGCAGAAGGCCGAGACAAGCGAACGGCGTCGCCACTGCATAGAAGAAATAAATGACCTCCAAAAGCAGGATGCCCATAGAAGATGGGTCCTGAACACTCTTACGGAGGGAGGTTCCCAGAGACATCAGCGAATAGTACGTGATCCGATCGTCGCCCAGGAAATCACCAGCAAGCCCACCAATCTCAAATCTGAAGCACTTTATCGTAATGCCGACGGCAAGCAAAACTGTAGCTCCCAGGGCAGTCAGAACAATTGCAGTCTTGAAGCACTTTGAAAGTTGCATTTGCTGTCCAGTGTCGTCGCCAACATAGTACTTGTGCTGGCATATGGACTTGCGGAATCTTCTAGCATTCCGGGGTTTGAGGAGTCTCATTTCCGACAGCCTGTGGCAGTACACCAAGAAATGCCCCATGAGAAGTGAAAAGCAAGTGGCTCCAAGAAACGTGTAGAATCCTGTCTCTGGCGAGACAAACACGTCCACAGAGAGAGTATCAGAGACGTCCAAATGGTACCTGAAGGCAACCATCATCAAGACAAACAAATATGTATCCACCAATGCAAACTTTCCGAGTGCATCCAGTGCCAGCAAGAGAGTCCCTCGAGTACTTGGCTTGAGGTAGTTCGCAGGTGTTATCCAAGACACAAGCATCAACAGAAGCTTTGTGTACGGCCACATTCCACTGGGATTGGCAGAATGAAGAAGTGTGAGGTTTAGAGGCATGCTGCTACGTCTACGGGGCCGCAACCAAGTGCTGCTCTGTACATACCTGAGGGTCAGGACGAGGAAAAACAAGGGATATATCTTTGCCTGAAGGTTGCAAGAAAGAAGATGCTTGAGAAACGATCGAGCAGCAGCAAGAAGGACCACAACATGCACTTACCTGCCACATGTCCTTGGCTGTGTTGTACAAACTAAAGGTGAAAAGTGCCGGCAAAGACAGGGAGCGCTCCTTCCAGGAGAGATGCAAGTCCACTGTGGCACCACTACTGATGTTGCTAGACACCAACAGAATGATCGTTCCAATGATCAAGATTGGAACTGCTTGCCTTGCAAAAGCTGAAATGACGGTACTCTGCAGCAACGTCTCTCCTTGTGCTTCGTTGTCATTCTTTTCCTCCATGTCAGAGATTGTTGTCGATGTCCCGTTCGTGTGTGACAGCAATGACTGTGACATGTCTCCTGTAACCTCGTTGGACTCGTTGGCGTCGTCCCGCACTGAACAGTACCGTTTGCCACAGAAGTAGAGTATCTGTGCGATCGCAAACAGCCCCACAAAGATTCCCACCACTGGAAGCAACAACTCGTCATGAAAGCCGTCATTGAGTATTGGTGGATCTTTGTCGTACCCAAAGACTTGCCCCCCAGTGCAATAACTTTCGGCTTGTTGAAAGCTTGAGGATGCCGCCGAGTTCAAAATGTCCTTCAACGTGTACAACACCCATGCCACAATCGAAGCTACAAGCTTTTCTGCGGATGGGTAGGCGATCGTATCCGTGGCCACTGTGAAGTTTTGGAACTTGGAGCCGCCCGTCACTTCTGCGCTGACGTTGGCGAGAAGGTTTCCAATCCGACTGTTGCTGTTGTTCTTATTGTAAAACTCGTGTTTTCGAAAAGGCGTGAAAGCACAATGACCATTTGAAAAAAGATGGCTCAGTGTCAGCTGTCGCAACCGCGTCATATCAAAGTGAAGGATGGAGCCTGCATCCAAGTAAACGTCCTCCAGCTTGGCCGTCAAGTTGAGTATTCCGTTGATGTTGCGAGGACAGTAGTCGACATCGAGCGACAGGTGGAGTCTGGGCATGCCGTGATCCATGGCATAGCTGACCCCATTCTTCAGATGGAGTCCATCGCTTAGGGGAGATAAAAGATCAATGTGTTCAACGGCGCCAAAATTATCCAGACGGATTTCCTTCAAGCGAAGCGAGACGCCTGGAATCCCCTTGGCGAGACGTGCCAGTTCTCGGATCCAGGGTTGTGCCCAAAACGATGATGGGTTGTACTTTGCCTCTATGTTTTTGGCAAGGGTTTCAATGGCCTGATTGATGGAATCCAAGGTGCTAGGTTGGTTGATGAGATCATTCAACTTATCCAGCAATATCAGTTGCGAAAAGTTTGCCAGGTTTTGATCGGCACCGTCATCGCTACTGGTTTGGCAGTACCCATCATCTTTTGTGTCAACCGACAGCAATGCTCTTGCATCATGAGTGCCATCCTTGGTGTCAACCGATAGCAATGCTCTTGTATCATCATCATGATGGTAGACCAAGGACTTGTTGTTATTGTTGTCGTGACCATTGGTGACATTGTGCAACTGCCGGTCCAACCAGTTGTTGAGTTGCGACAAGAGCGTGGTACGCACCAACCCAAAGGTGGCATCGGAGAGTAGAGGTTGGTACTCTTGCAGCACTAGCATCAACACGTGATTCAACATATCATCGAGATCTTCTTCCAGTTGTCTGGATACCAGCCGAGACAATCTTCGTCCTCGACCAAAGTTGGAGGCCATAAAGTGCGGCACAAAAGTTGCCGACCCCAGAATGGCTCGCAGCGTCATGTCATTGACCTTGAGTGTCTGTATCGAGTCGAACAGACACTTTCTGTTTTTGGCAGCATTGTCTTGTTTGTTTTGGTCTCCTGGAAAGAAGATTGCAGGAAATGCATCTGTAACACGTGCAATTTGAATGTTTTGGAATTGATCCTTGTCCAATGCCAAGGTGACCATGGCCATGGCATCTAGTGTGGACATGTTAAAGTTCACATGAAAGACTTCATTGAGTGGATCTCCATGAATGAGTCCTCCTGGAATGGACGAGATTGTAATGTTGATGTTGGCCGTAATGTTGACTCCTCCTCCACCACCACCTTTGTTTTTGGAGGACTGTAGTTGTGTCTGGAATTGTTGTTGCGCATTGTTACCATCAGTATCTTGAGGTGCTAGAATGGAGAGTGATTGCAATGTTTCCAGTCCCACGACGTGCAATTCCTGAACATCGACGAGTACTTTTCCATATTGTGGCAGATCAAATCGAATTTTATGCATGCCTGCTGGTACGGGAATTTTGATTTGATCTTTGACTCCCTCCAGTAGTGCGGATGCAATGTTTTTGAATTCTCGATTGATAAAGCTGTCGCAATTGTGAGCAGTGCCTGTCTGGTAGAAACATCCGAGAAAGTTGTTGAGATGCTGTAGCGTGTGGTAGAATTTGGGTAGATCGGTGGCAAAGTCAATGGCATTGGATTTGAGAGTACTTGTGGATTGTAGTAGACGTGCAGGTTGTTGTTGTTGTGACTGGACCAAGTCCACACTATTGTTGTTGTGGGGTAGATATTTGTTCAATGCCCTGTCGGCTGTCAAGAGCGACTGTGTAACGACTGGATCCACGGCATCCTTAATTTGTGGACATAGAACATCTCCATTGAGTTCTTGTGTGACCTTGTTTGAAATCATTCCGCTGAATCCATTGACAATATCAGCCGAAATGGATCCATGAAAGCTTAGGTCTGCGACCTGTAAGGATGCCTGACATTGTTGTGTATTGAGCGCAATGGGCATCCAGTATTGGTTTTGTTGATGATGTTGTTGTTGAATGGTATGAGTTGCATTTGGTAGATGAAAGGATGACACGAATTCCCACGTGAATTGCAGAGCCGTCTTGTCGTCATTTCCATCGGAATTGGCCGTGACTTGTAAATCTCCCGAGAATCCTCCCGTGGCATGGTACTTTCCCTGACAGGATGCGGCAATTCCCTTGACGACCAACCGAATGGATGGATTCTTCCAATTACTATTGTTGGTTGTGGAGGAGTGATTGCGGTCGGAAGGAGTGTAGGATGACTCCAGTGTTTCGACGACAAAGTTGGTACAGGACAAATCATGGACAGTGACCGTGGTGGGAATCAACAAGATTCTCCGATGGAATTCTAAATCCGGGATGGAGACTTTTGTCTTCCACAACCAACACGCCAACGGGTCATATTTCGTATTGGTGGAACTGTCATCGCAATTGGGGTCTTGTAATGATTCTTGTAATTCCACTAATGGTGATGAAGAAGATGCAGTTGCCAATGCCTCTTTACTACTCCACAAGAGTACTGTCAATACTAGTAGTGCCAAGACTCTGTGTACTCTCACTCTTTTCACAATCATTTTTATCAATCAAAATTTACTAAAAAATTGAGTATTACTTTGAACAATGGTGATCACGCCACCAGACAGAGAGAGGCAACTGGTAAGATACACGATCCGTGTTTGTTTGTCTACTCCTGGATGGATGTGTTACGCTTGGCTTGGTGACATGGACGTTGATGTGATTGATGGCTTCATCCATTTCTGCTCGGCACCTCGGAAATGACACGGGACGGATTGGCAACCAATTGAACCGTTGCGAAGAATGTTTCATGGCTTTGAGAGCGCGCTGACGAAACCTTGTTTTTAATGTTCGTCCTTCCTTCGTCCGGCAAGCAGGCTTCAAAACCACGCAAATCGTCTTGATCTCATTTTTCTTTCTCTAAACCACAACAGGTCCAAGCCAAGCAACGGACAGTTATTGTCAAGCAACCATACGAACAAACAACTCTACTATACTATCTGTGTTTCTTCTGTCTTTCTTTCTAAATTGAACAATCATGGCAGAACAAGTCCAAGCCGCCCTGGACAAGATGGTCCCGCCATTGGCAGATCTGATGGATCGCAACATTTTTTCACAAGAGGAAATTCACGCCATTGTGGCTCGACGACGCAATTCCGAGTATTTGCTACGACGAACGAGTCCACGAAAGGCAGACTTTTTGAAATATATTCAAGACGAGTTACAGTTGGAACGATTGCGACTATTGAGGACCAAACGAATTCAAAAGGAACAAAAGCAGCGATTATTACAAAAGCAAGAACAACAACAACAAGTACCAGGAGAAGAGGACAAGGTCATTCGAGAACACCACATTGGAGATGCCCACATTATTCAACACATTCATCTCCTCTTCAAACGAGCGCTCCAACGATACAATCGAGAGGATGTATCCATGTACTTGCAATACGCCGACGTCGCCAAGGAACTAGGCTCCTTTCAAAAATTGCCGCAAATATACGCACAAGCCGTACAGCTTCATCCCCATGCCACGGGAGTTTGGATCGAAGCGGCATCCCATGAATTCTTTCATCGGACATCCGTCAGTACTGCACGTATTCTACTACAGCGGGCATTGCGCATCAATCCAAAAGCACAAGATCTGTGGTTCCAATCCTTTGCACTCGAATTTCATTACATTGCCAAAATGAAGGGACGACAATCGGTTTTGTTAAAGCAATCAGCAACAACAACTACAACGACCATACAAGACAATCCTTCCCTCGACTCGACCCTCTTTGTCGTAGCCAAGATTGTCTATGACAAGGCCATCGAAGCCATTCCAAACGACATTGACCTGCGATTGGGGTTCCTCGATCTTTGCAAGTCGTTCCCACACACGCTAGCCATGGAGGAATACATTTTCAAGTCCATCCGAAACGATTTCAAAGAGACTCCCAAAGCATGGATTGCCAGAGCCACGAGGCTTTTACACAAACAACTCGAACAGAAACAGCAGCAAAACAATGAAGACAAAGACATGCCGAAAGGATTCCTGGAACCACTACAAGTGGAAGAAACAGACCAATCCGAATCAGAAGACAATGACAGCAGCAGCAGCAACAGCAGTGGTGATGATGATGATGACGACAGACCTGCCAAAAAGCAAAAGAGTTCCGAACCCCACAAAAAGGAAAGCAAGGAGACGGACGCTGTCCTGGCCATGATCCAAAAGGCACTGCAGGCGGTACCAACCACAGAGATGTATCTGAAAGCCGTACAGTTCTTATGGATGTACTGTGAGCGGATCGAGCGAATATTGTCTTCTGCTGCTGCTACTGACGAGGAGGATGCATCCTCGGCAGCAGAAGCCACTCGGGAACGCATCTTGCTGGAGTTCTTTCCCAACCTCTTTCAACAAGCCCTGACGACACGGCCCCATGTAGTATACAACTCTTCCTTGGCTCTACAACACGCTGAATACCATGTCAGATTGGAACAGCCAGAGAACGCCCGTCAAGTGTTGGCGGACTTTTGCGCTTCTTTCAACAAGGGCAACAAGAAGAATGCACAACAGCTACCATCCACAAAGGTTTGGATAGCATTGGCAAATCTCACATTCCAAGTCAATAAGGAACAACAATCAGCAATCGAAACACGAAAAGTCATCAAAGAGGCCATGTCGCATTTCCCCGTTGGTCAGAAAGACCATATGCAGTTGTTGCTACAGCTGTTGGGGGTCGAACTGGTCATGGTGCGACAACAGTCTGCAAGAGACGCTGACATTGACAACACCCATAACAACAGCAAGGAATGCAAAATGGTCATGGCAACATTTCAGAAAATTCTGCTGCTGGCCAGCAACAGGGTGTCTCCACTCGATGGTGGTGAAGGCGACACAGCAGAGGATGATGATGATGAGTCGCTACTATTGCTGACATCCGAAAGCTCAGCCTTTGGCATTACAAGCATGGAGGACGCTTGTCTGCAATTCTTAATCTTTGCCGTCGAAGCGTATGGGCCTTTGGAAGGTGTGCGGAAAGCGTCGAAGTTGGTCTTGCTGCAATCCAATTTCCTGCAGCATTGGGATGCCAAACAGGCAACAAACGACTTGGACAGATTGGTTGCGTTCTTTGATAAGTGCTTGGAAGTGGAAATGGACACTCTACGAAACAACAAAACGAAGGCTCAATTGAGCAAGGCTGAGCGGAAAAAAGGTCGGGTGGCGTTGCGTGAACTTTGCAAAGCGGCAATACAGACATTCCAAGATGTACCAGCGTTGGCGAAACAGTATCAGCAAATGCAACATGATGCTCTGCTGCTTTGACTCCCCTCGCGGCCCTCCAAGGGAGCACTTATCTAAAAGTCTATTCTAATAGCTAGCATTTATTTACGCGCCCATTTGTCCCCGAATCTTCTGCTACTAGAGGCGGTTTGCACGAACGTACGTGGCATTGCTCTCGTGGCTTGACACCCGATGTGTCAACCAGCTTGCTCTTGGTGATTCTTCACGGTACCTTTCGCGTTGCGGTCAAACTTGCACTGGTGCAGCGTCAGGTTTCCGCCTCGTATTTCTGCCCCAAAGCCATCGTTCACGACAAAGGAAGATTCTGTTGCCTTGATCTCCGAGCTGTCAGCAGTTATCCCATTCCCGGCGCTGCCTCGGATGACACACTGCGATACAAACAAGCAAATGTTAGAGAGCTCGATGTAGTGTGTACTCTGTCATCTGTCAAACGCATTTCCTGCCCAGCCCTCACCTTTTCCAGTTCTAACGTGGCGCCAGCGCTGAGCTTTACCCCCTGCTCTTTTCCGCCATGTATAATAACCCCCTCCCATCGACATTTTACTCCGGGCCCCTGGATTGCAACGGCAGAAGTCCCACTGCTTCCGGAGTTGTCGATAACGCTTTGAACGATGTCCACTCGCCCGCCTTTGGCAATTCTCAACATGTCGTCAGTGGAGCCCTCGCCAGACGATATCTTTGGCCTTCGAAAGGTGACACCTTCCACCCAGCCTGACTTGCCACGCCAATCCACTGTCCCACTCATTTCAATCACAACGTTGGAAGCGTTGTTTTCGTCCCCAACCAGTTTGAGCGGGAAGTCAATGGAGAGCCCTGGTTGGCTTACCCAGTAGTGCCCGTCGGAAAACTCAATTGTGTCTCCCGGAAGAGCAATCGAAAGAGCATCGGCAATGCTTCTATAGTGATTGGGTGCCATGTGTTTGTCGTCCCGCATGATGGCTCCCATCTCGACTGGATAGATGTGGCGAACGAACGAGATATCGCTCGCGGCCAATCGCCATTGTCGACAAACTTTCGTGCACTGGATCCGGTCTGGATAAGGCAGAAGAAAGCTCATGATTTGAACCAACGGTTTGCGTTGCAAGCCTGACCAAAGCATACGACGAGCATCTGCTTCGGCCTCAAGCTCCAGTAGCACTGTTGGTCTATCCCACAACGCTTCACCGGTATCCGTGTTGTACCAGAAAGGTGCGTTTGTACGTCCGTCTTCTCGCACATCCCAGTTCTCTCCAGTGAGCGTTCGTCTCTTTTTGTCCGACTTCAGGCGTGCCTTCTCACGGTTATAAAAATTTCGCTGCCGAACTAATTCCTCTGGCTTTGGTCTGGTAGCCAGCAAGTCCCCGTCCTCGATTGCTCTTCGTTCCTCATCAGCTTTGTCCATTTCGATCTGGTCAATGTCGAGCTCTTCCTTTGTCTCCTCAGCAGCCTCGAGCCTTCTTCTTTCCTCCATGATCGCAAAGACAGAGTAAAACGGGTCGATTTCTTGTCGGAAGCTATACCCGTACTTTTCGGTGGGAGACAAGGAAGCTACCAGGGCCGATGTATCCAGGCCGACATCGTCCTGCCAAGCCGCAAACTCCTTGACCATCTCTTCTTCTTGGTTCTTTTCGTCGGGTGCGTCTTCATCGGGTTTCTTGTCTTTGGGCTGCCCCTTGCTCGATTTGTTATTGTTGTTGTTTTCAGCTTCCTCATCGTCGCCCTCGTTGTCTGAATCCTTCTGAAGCTCCACCGTCTCGTCAAACTCTCGCAAATCCTCCGCAGCTTCCTTTTGGGCGCCGCGCAGCGCCAGAACGTCATCTTTGTCTTCGAGATTTGTCATTGCGGCCTCCATTTGTTCCTTCGTGAGGTTTTCGGTGACTTCGTTCTCGCCATCGTCGTCGTCAAGGTTGTCGAAATCATCATCGCCCACTCCTAGAATAGCTCTAAGCCCACCTTTGGTGAACACATCCGATTGATCTTGTTCTGCAGAACTTGGAATTGGCTCTTCCTTTTTGCTGTCACGAGCAGACCCATCAAACTTTCCCTTGTCCATGACAATAATATCCAAGTTTCTCTTCTGTTGGGCTTTCACGAGAATGTTCTCCTCAATCGAATGCTCCGTAATTAGCCGATAGATGTGGACATCCCTTTTGAAGAAAACGCCGCACACGCGTTAGCAACCGATGCAAGGCAAACTACTACTAGGGGCACTGGAGGAGAGAACCTACCTGGTTTGCCCAATTCTGTGTGCTCGATCTTGAGCTGTTGTTTCGTACAAATTTTCAGCTTGTGTGAGCAAAAGCATCGGGGGAATAGGCAGAACGTAAAACCGTACTTACCCTGTGCGTCCATAGCAGGATTCCAATCGGAATCGTAGAATATGACCGTGTCCGCCCCTGTCAGATTGATACCCATTCCACCGCTCCTCGTGCTCAAGATAAAGGAGAAGATCTTTGGGTCGTTGTTGAATCGATCCATCAGTCGCTGTCGACGATCCACACCTGTACTACCGTCGAGCCGCACATATGTGTGTCCGTTCAGGTTCAGAAACGCCTCCAAGATATCAAGCATTTTGCTCATCTGTGTGAATATCAGCACTCGATGACTGCCACGTTTCAAATCGTGGAGTAACTCAGCCAAGGTCTGAAGTTTCCCAGCATCGAATTGAACAAGCTTTTTGTCGGGGAAGAAAGATGTGAGCCTGGCATGGGCCTTTCTGAAGGGTTGGAGGTAATCTTCAATTGGCTCCATCAGCACCTCCTCTAAGGTCATAGTGTCGTTGTTGGACGTGCGGATCTCGAGAGTCGGCCGTGGCGCTCCTGCTTTGGGGACACAGCAAACAAAGTTCTTGACCATCTCGTCGACGTCGTCTGCTCGTTCTTGTTGATTGCGACGCATGGCAAGCAGCTGCGACGGTGTAGAAAGCAAATCTTCTTCCAGCTCGTAGATTGGATGAGGTCGCACGTGGACGGCTTTCTGAAGACGAGTAGTAAGTGGGAATGGCGGCGACCTGCATCTGCTTGAATTCACTTTCTGTTGGAAAGCGATCCGGTCTTTTGTCCTACTTCGAGCCTCGGCTTTCAATTCATCCAAAAGGTCAGCTAAAGCACGTGGAATGTCCATCGGCACTTCGTTGTCCTCTTCCGACTGTGTTTCTGCCACTGGCGACTCCATCGACCTGTCCTCGAGCTCCATGAGAGCCGTGGAACGAAACTGGTCGTGCTCGCGGCATGTTGGTAGTGACGGCATCGCACCACTTCCACACCAAAGAGGAGACATAAGCTGCAGGCTCAGACGCTCGAACACTCCTCTTGAGGAGTTGATCCCGACAAGACACGAAGGAACAGATATTGAGATTGACTTTACAACGAAAGGTGTCACGACCGAACGTGGCTCGAAAAGGTCTGGGTGGTTGCAGACTTTTCTTAGTTGCATCAGGACATTCATCATTCCCATATAGTTGCCGCCTTTCTTCATTGCTTGTCTCGTCGAAGATCGTGCCATAAACTCCTCGTAGAAAAACATTTGTCGCCTGGACAGTGGGCACTTGACAATGTGTTCGTATTTCCCCGGCAATTGTTTCTCCACGTCTTTCTTCAGTCGACGTAACACGAAAGGACGGATGATACCATGAAGCCGCGCAACCATCTCATCGTTCTGATTTCCAGTGCCATCTATCATGCTATTCATGGGATTAGAAAACCAAAATGAAAACTCCTTCCGAGATCTGAAAATGTACGGCATCAGAAAGTGCAACAGTGACCAAAGCTCCATCAGGTTGTTCTGGGGAAGGATGGGCGTCGAACAGTGAGCATGCTGCTTCATTCTCCATTCGTAGCACCAGAAAGTGTAGACTTACTTGCAAGGGTGTTCCCGTGAGCAAAAGCCTTCGTTGCGTGTTGAAGTTGATGAGAGTTTGCCAACGTTGACTTTGGAAGTTTTTGATGTTCTGGGCTTCGTCCAGAATCAGGTAGTACCAACGTTTTCGCTTGAAGGCAAAAGCATCCTGCACAGCCAGTTGATATGACGTGATAACAACATGATACCAGTTTGTCTGCAAATTATAAATAATGAGGTGGCTGAGGTTAGCTCCCATTCTAGGACCATGCCAGGCTAGCTCTCATGTCTCACCTTTGTCCACCCCGAACGAAGCTCTTTTCGACGTTTTGCAGAGCCGTAGTAGCACAGAGACTTGAGACCTGGACAAAAACGCTTCAATTCCGTTTCCCAGTTGACTATGACTGACGTGGGGACAATTACAAGATGCGGCCCCCAGATGCCTTTGTACGAAGCGAGATACGCTAGCAAAGATATTGTCTGCAGTGTTTTCCCTGCAATAGTAATAAAAACGGCAGTGTCGAATCATCAGCCTCCATATGAAATCAACAGCCAAGCGGCACAAAACAACTCACCTAAACCCATTTCTGCACAGGATGATCACGAGCGAAGACACCAGGTCAGAAGCATTCATTCAGCAGACCTAAAATCGCATTACGACAAGGCGTCCTTACCATCTGCCAATATCCCGTTGAGACGACGAGTCTGAAGCGAAACTAGCCAGTTGAGTCCGGTTTGCTGGTACTTTCGAAGCTTCACCCACGAGGCCAAAAGGAATGGGCGGCTAGCCAACGTTTGTCTAGCCCGTTCAGCAGACGCCTCGAGTGCTTGAATCGCAGCCAACCCTTCATCTGCTGAAGATTCTTCCTCCTTGGGTCTCTTCGAATTGCTAGGATCTTGCTCGCTTTCGACGTTGTCAGGATCTCGCTTGCGCTTTTTACTACTGTTTACGTCACACGAGGGGTCGTCAGAACCATCTGCATCAAGCCGTTCCTCTTCCATTTTCTGATACATTTCATACAGGCTCTCGATGGGGGTCTCACTGTCTTTTTGAAGTACAGCGAGTTCCTCTTCTGGCGACATTTCTCGTCCCAGGCGTTCCTCTGCTTCCATTGTCGTCTCATCGTCAACTACTTCTCCGTCGGCGACAAACTCGCCATCTTCTTCTGCATCCCTAGAGGTGTTCTCACCAACTTCATCTGCGAGTAGAGAAGACATTGCAGTGGTTTCCTGGTGTCTCTCAGTGCCTGTTGCGCCATTGTCCGAACCATTGCTTTCGCCGGAGAGAACCCCAAGATATTTAGCCTTGAGCTCCTCAACGGACATTTCGTTCTCCTCGTTGAGTAATGCTATTTCAGCCTCGTACGGCATGTCACGTCCAAGACGTTCTTCGGCTTCTATCGTAGTTTCATCGTCTGGTGCGGGATCTCCTTGTGGCTCAAATTCGCCATCACTGGCTCCTTCCTGGTTGTCGTTTGCTGTACGAGTGAGCAACGCACTAGTCGATGCCGAATCTCCGACTCTCCGTCTTTTGCTACGTCGGACTCCTTGTACGTCGCCGACTTCTGAAGCTTGCTGATTGTCACTGTTTTCCTTCTCTCCATCCTCCTGTTCGACAATTTCTGACGATTCTTGGTTCTCAGCCTCTGGGCCTGCGGTGCTGTTGTCGTCGACTGGACCTGCCAGAACAGCAGCGTATCGTTGTCGAAGCTCTTCGATGCTCATTTCATTCTCAGATTTCAACAGGTCCAACTCTTCTTCAGCTGACATTTCCCGGGGAAGAGCCTCTTCTTGTGTCAATGTAGTTTCATCATCCACCACGTTGGGGTCGGCTTGAAACTCTTCCGAACCATCGTTGCTGTTGTCGCCGTTGGATTTGGCGTCATCCGATGCATCATCATCATCATCATCATCTCCAGCCAACGTAGCTGCCTTTCTTTGCTCATCGGGTTCACTTTGTTTTCCAACAGCCGCCGATTCGTCCGTTGCCGCATTTGAGTCCTTAGCTGACTCAGCGTTTGTCACTCTGCTGGGTTCATCCTCAGTTGTCGTTTCGTCGGGTCCAGCGACAGGGGAAGGACCTTCCAACACTCCTGCATACAGTTTTCGCAGCTCTTCCACTGACATTTCATTCTCGGCCTTCAAAAGAACAATTTCTTGTTCAGCTGACATCTCCTGTGGCAGTTTCTCCTCCTGGATCAATGTCGTTTCATCGTCCACCTCGTTCTCATCTGCTTCAAACTCCTCTGAGGCATCGTCGTCGTCCCCGTTTAAACCGTTGGAGCCCTTGGCTTCGAGCAAGTCAACAAAGTCTTCCACATCACTGGCATCTCCATCATCATCGGCATCATACTTGGCAGCTGCCTCATTAGATGATGGGGATGCCCGAGCACTTTGCTGCTCTGCTGTGCTCGTCCTGCCGTTTGTCCGGGTTGGACTCGGAGCAAACGAAACCCTTCTTGTGGATTGTTTCTTGCCAGGTTCGTTGTCCTGGCTCTCAGGCATTGTTGCTGCGTCGTTGTGATTCTCCTTCGCATCTTTTGTTGTGTTCTCTGCCGTTGCTTCGTTTCGGGGTCCTGCGGTTGTTTCATCTACCTCCATAGGGACTACCTCTGAGTCCACTCCATCCTGAGTAATGTCTCTAGGAGGTATCTTTGTCTCTGAAGCTGGTTCGGTGCTTTGCGAGGCTAGATGATTCGCGGCAGTTGCTTCGTCTGTGACATTGCCCACTGTGTCTTGAGCGTCGGCTTCTGCTCTGTAACGTTCCAGAACTTGTTCAATGGACATGTCTCTCTCCTCCTGCAAAACCCGCAGTTCTCTGGGATCAGCGGTAAAGGATGTTTTGTTTCCTGTTTCGCCATCCTGCTTTCCAAGTTCCTGCAGTCGCTCTCTAGTTTCCAAAGCTTCTGCTTCTAGCAGTGTTGTTTCGTCATCTGTCCAATGATCGCTGTCATCCGGTGAATAAGAATTGTCTGAGCCCGTGTCAGAGGCTGTGGATTCTCCATACAGAGTTGCATCTCCTGCTTGTAGCTGCAGTTGGTTGTAGTCAACGACCTTGTTCTTGGACCTTCGGCTTCTCTCGCCTACGGCTAAAGCTTCCTCAATAGACATGGTATGCCGTTTCCGTATTTTCTTGTGTTGTCGCTTTCGGTGGTTCTTTGTCCCGTTGGGAGGAGATTCATCTTTGCTGTCACTACTGGAATAGTCTTCATCTTCCTCCTCTTCCTGATCTGGCAAGTGAATGAGAGACTCTGTATATTTCTCAGTCTGTTTGACCAGTGTCACTAGCTGTTTGTTCATGGCTTTTCGTCGTTCCTCATCGGCACTGCACTTTTGTTTGTAGGCAATGACACGTTCAATTTTGGTCCACCAGCCTCGGACTTCCCGTCCAATCCTTCCCGCCAGTCGCCGTCGCTTGAGTTCGGCTTCTGCTAGCTCCCTGAGTCTCCGGGTTTCACGTGTCTTGTGGTATTGTCGTACTGCCGCAGCAATCTTTTTGGCCAAAGACATTTGTCGTTTGCGTTCTCCTTGAAAGTCGGTAGCCAGCCACATCATTTCTTTCATGGTAAAGTCCCAGTGCACATCTGTCGTCTTTTCCAGCAGCGGTACTTGATTGTCGTTTGGTGGTGGTTGTTGCTCCTCCGTGTCATCTTTTACCGTCTTCTTTCTCTTGGCACTTCGACTTCGTGAGCTTGCAGGGCTCTTGGGGTGAGTGTTGCTGTTGGCAGCTGTCGGTTTCTTGGCCTTTATCGGTACAACGGCAATCACCTGGAGTCGTTCCTGGATGGTTTCCTGACGATCCAACAGGTCTTGGTAGGGAAGAGCTGCAACGGCATCTTTCATAGACTTGTTATCTGCAGATTTACCCCCACCACCACCTCTACTCGCAGCGGAAGCTGTACTGGCGGATCTTTGCATCTTGATTGACCAGCCGTGAGTGAGGATGTGGAGCTGAGTAGGGCACAAGATACCGCCAACAATTCAAAGATTGCTCGACGGATCAGAGACTTTTCGAAGGTACAGGATGCCTTCTGCTTGGCAGAGGAGGGCGGGCAAAGGCTGTAGAACTTGAATTGCTTCCTGTCTCCCAGAGCAATCACAACTACCTACAACGGCCAAAGCAAAACAACCAAAAGATGGCCTCAGTTTTGTGAAGGCGATTTGTGAACCTTTGCGAGCTGCGCTGCCACCATCATGAAACGGCAAAGTGACACAGCAAAAAAGAGAGCTCATCGCGTGGAAATTCTACGGTGCGAAAACGCGCGATGGATCCAATCAAGGCAGGAAAGCTGAAAGAGCATCGGACGCTTCAAAGAGTGATCAATCCTTAAAATCCACACAGATGCGGAAGGAACCGGTACTAGTACCCTTGTAGTACGATACAGTCGTACCCGCTATCATCGCATTTAGCAACACCAGGTACCTGGTACAAAGGTATGTAGTTATCCTGACAAGGTGCATAGTTAGATGTATCAACTGCTACTTCCATTTGTGGATTTCACTTTGGCTTGACAAGAGTGCAGTGTGCAGTGTTCATAGGTTCAACCTACCGCATTATTTCCGTAGGATGACATTGTGAGTAATTATAATATCCAGGCGAATAACGTCCCATAACCCTGTGACCTAACTAATTCTAATAATACATGTATTTCCAGCGCTGTCAGGAAAGAGATTGACTGTAGCTACCGGTAGCTGGCTACCTTCCATGTATGCAAGATACCGGCTAGCCGGCAGTTGTGTTCCAAAACACGGCTGTTGACTTGAGACTTGAGACTGAAACTTCACAAATAAATCATACGAAAAAAATAAATACAACGTAAGATCCTGCGGCAGCTAGTATGGTAGTGCTGACGAGTAGCAGGGCCCGCGGCAATATTATTGCAGTGGCACGCGCAATATTATTGTGGCCGCACGCGCAATATTATTGCGGCTGGCGCTTTTCTCGATCGAAATCAATTGACATGAGCATGGACAGTGGTGGAGCCATCGCCACACTTCGCTTGGTTTCGTGGTGCTTGCTTGTCTCGTTCTCTCGTCTTCTATTCGTGTCCTCTTGTTGTCTCCCTCGGCAACAGCTTCTGGGCAGTGATTTCCTACCGTGCTTTCATTTCCAACACCCTCCAAGACGATGAGTTCCAGTTTGAGTACCTATGGTGCCTCGGTGCCCATGCTCTACAGCACTCACGAAGGTATGGATATGGCTTCCGCAGCACATGTACCTGGTAACACCAGTGCTGCTGATTGGGAGTTTCTTCTTCTTGATCTGACTGAACTTTTTCCATTTCTCAATGCTGCTTCCTCATCCTTCTAGTGCGAGAGCGTCGCTCTGTAAGGCATTGGATTGAGAAGGACGCGCTCAAGAGTCTTCAACACATGGAGCAGCAACAACAAGACCAACCTAAAGAACAGCCAGACCAACAGCCTCCATCAGTTCCCCAGGTCGGTCCGCCGTTGGAAATTGGATTGCGAAAGGCCATTGTTGTTGGTTTCTCGGGAGGTTGGACGGCTGCTGGAATCAACCTGACTTTTGGCCGCTACACTACCAACCCATACCCCAGCATTACCATTTCCGATGGAAAGCATGAAGTCAAGGCCTACTTGACAGCCGAATCGTCTCAATCATCTGCATTTTGGGCAAGACCCACACTCTCCGTTGGATCCATGATTCAAATTGAAAAGGCAGACTTTGTACTGGAATCCACTCTGCTTCCTCCTCCACCCGAAACAACCGATGCAGGAAGCAGCACCAAACCTGATGACGCGTACGTGCTGGCTGTGCGTTCCAGTATTCAGCATATAGACCGGAAACCTGTCTTGGATTTGAACAAATCTAACAAATTGAAGCAATGGTTCAATCGAAAGGCGGCATCTACAGATCCACCAGAACAACCCATGGAACCAGCTCAGATGGGATCGACGGAACAGGCGGGAGAGGAAAAAGACGACAATGCCGGGGAGAATGATGATGACGACTCCACGAGCAGTGATTCTTCCACTGAAAGTGAACACAGCTCCGCAGAAGGAGAAACAGAGGGTGGCGGATCGAAGAAGGAACCAACAGATGATGACAGTCCAGCAAAGGCTGTCCGAAGACGCAAACACAAGCGAACGTTGATTGCAAGCGGCGTCCCGGAACCTTCCCCACAGCGCCGTCCGCCACCTGCCAAGAAGCAGTATGTGCAGGCAGGACGTGGAAGACCCTCCAAGTTGTCTTGGGAAGAGAAAGTGAACCACTTGATCGCGTACAAAGCGGAGCACTCTCACTGCAATGCGCCAGTTGGATGCAAACAAGGGGAATTTGCTCTGGGAAGTTGGATCAACCAACTAAGGATGGGTAAAGGATCCTTAAGCGAAGAACAGAAGAAAGAGCTTGACGACCTAGGTTTCATCTGGGATATGGCAGAGCACAACTGGCAACGAAATTTTCAAGCGTTGTGGATTTCAAAAACGAAAATGGCCACACCTGTGTGCCAATCTCCTACAAGGATGATGCAGGAAACTTGGGAACCTGGGTCTACAATCAACGTCGAGCAAAGCGTTCCGGCAAGCTGCTCGCTGAGCGTCAGAAGAAACTCACTCAACTTGGGTTTGAGTGGGAAGTCAGAGTGCGTATTACAGTATAGCCAGTGATCAAAAGGGCGATGTTTGGTTTGTCATGTATTTCTAACTTGCTTTCTTCGTTCAACTGTTGCTTCAACTGTTCTGACAGCGTGGTAAGCGGGCTTCATCATAAAGATCTGAGCATAGGAACCCGCCTGGTGAAGCATTTGCTGGTTGCCACTGCTTGTGGATGTTTGGAAGCTATGTTGGACATGGCGGCATAGGCAGATGGTGGTTTGGAGCAGTTGTCTGATTCAACGATCACCAAGGGGTGCTATCAGCCACAAATACAGCGTTGACTACCGGTATCCAGCGCCAGCTGGGGGTGCTAGCTAGTAGCAAGAAGCAGCAGACATAGTTAAGCTATCTACTAGTTGCCACTCATCTGTCTATCCAGAGTCGAGTCTACCGTTACCTGCTGAACGACCAGGGATCTTGACAGGAGTGACTCGACCACTCCGGCCAGCTAGAGCTAGACTACGTTACCGATGCCGGTACCATACTACATCGTAGAAGCTAGCACTGGCATCAAAGTCGATTGAGTGATTCGACTCGTCACTCGACTAGCTAGACTTCGTCACTCATTCAACTATTTTGACTTCTATCAATGAATGAGCAAAAAGTGAGAACATAATATTTGATGGAGACAAGCCTCCAGGCCAAATTTCTGCTGCGGAATGGAGGAGGCAACCAGAACTGTGGCAAGGTGGGTGGACTCGACTCTGTTCATGTTGTTTCTTTCTATCGTATGTGGTTACTATTTCTAGGGATACATGTAGTATCAATTGCATCCACACTGCATCATTGATGTTGTACTACCGGGACATCATACACAATACACATCAACCAAGTAGCCACTTTTCACCCATTGAGGGCTCATCAGGCGTTCCATGCATGTTCGTTGGCATCCGCCGTAGTGGTGGACAGCATATCCTCCTCTAGCTAGACTTTACCAAAACAATAACTCTCCACCAATGATCTCTTCATCGACATTCCAACATCCATTGATCTTTTTCCGGTGGCCGGCTGCCCGGGCTGGGCTTCAAAAGTTCTTCAAGGCCTGGCACGAAAGAGAAGCTCTTGGTCCGATCACGGCTGGCACTCCTGGCGACGACTCGACTCAGAATAGGAGATCACCCCTTGGTCATCAACCACATACTCATTCTCGATGGAAGGCGACTCCCATGTACCCCTTTCTTTATAAACGGCCCAGAACTGTGCTCCGCTCTTGAGAACCCAATCGTAGTCTACCTCAAGGAACTGTGTTTTCATGTGCCAGTTCTGGAGAAGAAACCACCAGTTGTCGTTCCGCTTTTGGATTCCAAGGAGAACCATGGAGTGGCGTTCACGAGTATCTTTCTCTCCTTCTGGAGGTGCTCTCGACCATTCAGAGGTAGACCCCTCGTATGAATACTTGCTTCCAAAATCCGAGGAAAGGAGCGCGCCAGCGAAGAGAACCGGTCCATACAAGGTTTTCATATACTTGATTGTATCTCTGGTGAGCATGTCTCGGACAGCTATCTTTGCATCCATCAGGGGAGGAAGCGGTGTGACCATGTCTCCCGCAAGCTTTTTCAAACAGTTCTCGCTTCGCCCTCCCGATCCGTCAAACAAATGAGTTTTGATGTCATGTTGATCGAATGTATGCCGTATGAACCGGGGAATGTCAACCACTCGCTTACTCCCGACCTTGTGCCAATCACAGACATACTGATACGTCGACACCGCCCCATGAAGGTAACAAGTTCCTGACAATTGCACCTGCTGAAACACATCAAGGTGATCCTCGCATTCATTGTCGATGAGATTGAGGAAGTCGTTTTGCATTCCACCGGCGGATCTCCAGTGTTCAGGTGAATTCAAAAACTCGTCGAAGGTTTGAACACCGTCAGGCACGGTGTCCTTGAAAGTCTGGCCACGTTCATACAAAATGACACTAACACGATCCCCAATTTCTGTTGTTGGGTCCACAGCTCCCAAAAGTTTTTTCCCCAACCATACGCGGCTCCTTCACCCCTTCCTCTTCAAAGGCTTTGTGAACTTTTCGGTCAAAGAGAAACCAGATGACTTTCTTCCCATGATCCTCAAGCGTTTCCCAATCAATCACATACCCCTCTGCCAACTGAAGGCACCTCTCCTTCTTAATCTTTGGAGGTCTGATGTTCACAAATAACTCGTTCGGGTTTGTCTGGGCCACACCTGGTGGGGGCGTTGCTGCAGCAGTGCCGTTCGTCGGTGCAATTGAGGGAGTGGACCTGCCCGATATCTCTCCACCTTCCGTCTTGCTCATTGAGGTGGTTTTCGTGCTGAGGGTGCAGCGATTAAATCCGTTTCCGAGGAGACAGTACCAGCGGCAACATAATAAGCACCATGGTCAGGACGATGGCCCACGATGGGGTCAATCTCCAGCCGAATTGTGAGGGGAGACCGTTTTGGAGATTATCAAAATTTAGGAGATCAAAATTTCAAATTAGGAGACCGCCCGTTTTGGAGATTATCAAAATTTAGGAGACCGTTTTGGAGACCAAAGTCAAAATTAGGAGGTGTGTTTGGTTGAAATAGGAGATTGAATAGGAGATCAAAACTCAAATTAGGAGGCTGTTTAGGAGATCACATGTACTACGGATTCGGATTGAACTGTCCTTTCCCTTGTTCGGAAGCTGATTTCCCACCCTGGGAAGGAGATTTCCGACCCTCTGAAGGGAATTTTCCTTGAGCTTTACTTAAGGGACAGTGCTGTCGGATTTGACTTCGACCATTTCTTTGAGACAAACTTTTAAAGGATCGACTGGCGCGCCAATTAATCCTCGCATAGAAACGTAAACAACCTATGCACGGGGAAGGAAAATCTCCTTTTGAGGATGGGAAATCCGCTTTTATTAAGAGCATGGGAAAGGACAGTTCTTCCCGAATCCGTAGTATCAAAATTTAGGAGACTGTAATTTGAAATTAGGAGACGGTTTGGAGATTATCAAAATTTAGGAGACTGCTCCTCACATTTTACCTTTTTGCCCCATCGTCCTGGCAGTGTCTCGAGACAGCGGGTCAACAGCACCACAATGTAGCTGGCCAGGTATTATAGGTTTAGTCTTGTGTTTGCTAGTGACTTAATTAGAGAAAAAGAAAAACACAAGTCCTCTCTTCATCATCACCAACAAACAGTGTGCTGTTGTTGCTGCCATCTTATGATTACTAGCTAGTAGTCATATACCATATACCACTACTCCACAAGAGGAAGCAGCTTTCAAAGTGCTTCTACTGTAAAAGTCAATATCTGATCAGTGCTGTACACTGCATACAGTTTGATCAATAGTCTTTCATCCTTCCCTTACCATTTACGGTTCATCGTGAGAACAATTTACTGTTTATCGTTTACCGTCCATACATTGACTTGTTCAAAGGTGGACAATATCTGTGTACGATATACGGTTTACGGTCCTGCAACTTACAGCTGATGGTTGTACGATATACAGTATACGGTATCCCTCATCTGCAATGTCTCCAAAGAAGCAAGGCACAGCCCAAAGCAACAGCAGATGAACGGTAAACAGTATACAGTACACAAACAGATTTAAACGGCGAACGGTAAACGGTGAACGGTAAACCGTGTGGAATTGTCTTTCCAAAAGTATCAAAAAGAAAATTGCGGTAAATGGTATACCGTTTGACCTGGCCGCATGTGCTACTGATATCCGTAAACCTGGAAAGTGCTGACACGTTTATTGTATACGGTATATCGTATCCGCCCCTTCATTGGTGGGGACTAAAATTTTAACCAGAGGGGTGGTTGGCCTGCTACATTGTGGTGCTGTTGACCCGCTGTTGTTGTTGTTCTTTCACATGACATTGTATGCATTCCGCTGATGGGGCCACCGTTTACCAATGAAGCACGACTGAAGTACTGTATAAACAGCCACTTACTTTTCACCCATTGAGGGCTCATCAGGCGTTCCAATGCATGTTCGTTGGTACGGGCCATAATTAACCCAACTGTAGCTGTTACGGTACTGTACGGCTGTACGGCTGTACGGTACGGCTGTACGGCTGTACGGCAAAGGTGCAGTATCGATACAACTGTACCGGTGGGCGAATTTGCACTAGCTAGCTACTATGATATTACCGGTAGATGCATGCATACCAACATGTACTGGTACCAGTTTTCGCAATGCTATCACCATCATCGCTAATGCTAAAATAGCTACCGGTAGAATGCTAATGAGGCTGGCCCTTCCTTTCATTATTATTCTTTGTAAAATCGCAGACAATTGGAAAATCAAAAACAGCAGACAATGTGTTGGAGCTTCAAGGTATCCATGGTGTTTGCCTTGCTGGAAGCATCAAGCACTTTCTACCTTTACCAACGTGCCAAGAAATCCACAGACCCGTACATTCGAGCCCAACTCTGGGTAGTACCTTTGCTAATCACAATTTTTCTGGTGGAAATAACCGAGGCTTTTGTGTGGTTGGATCCCACCTTGCTACCAGTCACGGCCCAAGAAGGGCCCCCTTGTTCCGCATACAATCGCAACTTGACCATGGTGTTTTGGTTTTTGGTTTATCCCTGGCAACCTCTGCTCTGTACCATTCCCTGTCGACGAGTTGGACACCCTCGGAATCGTGATATTTTTGCTGGTATTGAGATAGTTGCCATTGCATTGCCCATTTGGCACATTATGATTTACATACTTGAAATCACTCCTCATTTGCTGGATGAACACTACAATCCACCACCTCCAAGATTTGATATTCAAAGGCAGGCTTACCAAACCTTTCAAAACTCTGAGACTTGCACTTATGTGGGACAAAATGGCCACTTGTTTTGGACTTTGGCCACAGCCACTAGTTGGTTGTCCCCCAATGGAACCTGCTACATCATTCTGTTCTCTTCCTTTATCCTGTGCAAACCAAAACGATTCTTTGCTGGCATGGCCCTGTTCATGTCTGCCTTAGCACTGTGCCTGAATACGTACTATAGAGGATCTATGGAAATGGCCAGTATGTGGTGTTGGTTGGGCATGCTGATGCATATCTATTTCATATTACAACCATATTTGTTGCCGTGCAATGATAACAATTCATATTCTGCAGATACCTTTGCTGCAAATGCTGGTTTTCGTGATGAACTGCCGGTAGTGGAGATTGCAAAGTGCAATGGAGGTGGGAGTTGCATGAGCCAAAGTTGGCCAGGTGGCAAAAGTCAATGGTTTCGAAAACTGGCTCACAAGATGCCACCGTGGGCATCTGAAGTGGTGTATTTTTTGACTTCTTCCACATGCAAAGATGTTGCGGTCTCACACAAAGGGTCATGATGCAGTGACCCAATATCTCCACGCCGACGCTGGCACCTTGGGGCTCGGAATCTGTATAGGTAAGATCAACGCCCAGCGACAGGAGAAGGTGGCGGCTTCAAGAAACGACAAAACTTGGGGAGCGCGCGAGAATACCGGTAGGTGTTTTGGGAATCCCGGCGAAGTTGTAGCAGCAAAGGCAGAGAGAAAAGGAACTCTTTGTGGCTTCAAGAGTTTTGATATAGGTTGAAAGGGACATTTTGATGGGATTTTTAACACTTTTAATTAAGAAACGCTGACCAGACAATCTTTATTCATAGAGCAGTGTGGACAATGCCGAGGTACCAGTAGTCAGGACGGAGAAGTGCAACAGTATGGTACCGGTACATCATTCGTAAACGTCGGGCCGAGTCAATCTTGAAGATCAATCACCAGCAAGCCTTCGGCGCATGGAGAAGTAGACTCTCCGAGCAAATTGCCAGTCTTGGTGTTGACTACAATGTATCTATCGTTGCATGTCATGTGAATAGAGTCGTAGTATTGAAGTCCGCCAAGAGCGGCATGACGAATCCGATTGGCAAAGCGCACTCTTGAAGGATTCGTCAGATTGTAGACTCCACCGCTTGCCTCCTCTAAGGTTGCGTCTTTGAACAGGCTGACATCCTCAAAAGAAGCCAATACCTGATAGACTAGAACGATCAATCCAATGTGGTCTTGTCCAAACACCAGGATTCTTCGTCCGTCATAGGTCACGCGTGGTGCTCTCGTGATTCCAGACAAGGGTAAGTTGATCATTGAGACGATTCGATAGGCATCATTGCTTGACGACGAGTCTTTGGCTTTGTGCCACAATAAGAGGGAACTGCCATCAGTTGCAGAGTGCTGGAGAGTCACAAACCCACATTTGGCAAACGGACAATGGCTTGCGTGGTGAAAGCTGACAATCTTGGGTCTGTTCAGAATGGTAAGCAGGGTCCTCTCCATTCGGGAGGAGTCGTCGTCAAGTCGTTGATTGTTGTTGTCATTGGACTCCTCGCGCGAGTTTCGCAAGGCTTTGGACATGGAAGACTTGATGTTGACGATGGCTGCCCTCTTCGCCCTTGCCTTTCCACACTTATCCGAGTGAATCTTCCATACTTCGCATGTTCCTGCTTCTGTGCCCACCATGAGAGTTTCTCCTGTAGGATCAACAGAAAGAGAAGACACTTTGGCTCGACAATGAATGAAGCATTCTGGCTCTTGATAGTTCGTTCTGCAGCCTCCACTCGACGCCTCGCTGGATCTCATCCCGAATGTATGGGTTGGATATGAAACCAATGGATAAACTACCACCGTTGACCTCGAAACATGGCTATTGCTGCCCAAGTTTGTTTCTGCCGATGGTCCATCATTGCTGTCAAAGCTGACATACACTCGATTATGTGTTGCACAAACATCAATGGTCCTGAATGACCAGGGAAAGCGACAAAGTTTCCGTGCACCAAACTCATGACTGTTTGTATTGCGTTTGCTTCCACTTTTGGCGGTATCTTTCCTGCGTTCCCAGGTGAGAAGCTCCGTGACAACCTGCTCGATGACTCCATTGAGCTGTGTTCCAGTTTCCCTGGTTATCATTCTTCCAACGGCAATCATAGTGCCTTCCAGCGCTCCAGTCCTTTCGTTCAACAGGCATTTTGAATCAATGCCATGATATCCTACGTCAATTTCAGCGCCATCGTGGCCTCCATCATGGAGTGGAGGAAAACATGCATCAACATCGATATCATTTTCCAAACAAAACAAAACCTGTGAGGGATCTTTTTTGATTTGCGTAGTAGTATCCCCGCAGCCGCGGTTTTCTCGGTTGCCAGGGAACAAATTCGCCGCCTCCATCACAGCTTGTTCCATCATTGCCTCGTCAGATGACACAGCATTGTTGAGACAGCTCTCATGCACCACCAAGGTTCCATGAAAGGGATCCAATGACACCATTTCGCCACCACAGGCAGGTGAAGTCAAGATGAAGCTGTCGCATCCAAAATCAACCGGAGGAGGATCATCCCATTCTGCAACGAGTCCATCCGGTGTCACTGGGACAAAATGAAACATGCGATTGGGAAGGTTGAAGCAACGAGACCGTGCTGGTAAAGTCCCTTTCTTCTTTTTCTTGGGTGCTAACAGGTTTCGGGCTAGCTGACGTCTTTTTCGTGTTTCTTCCAGAAAATCAAACATGGGCACTGCTTCTGATGAATGAGCGAGCAATGGCATGGAGAAACACTGACGATGAAACATGTCCTTCCACAGAAAATGGTCTCCTTGGCGAAAATCTTGTCTCAGGGACCGATTTATTCCACGGCAAAATTGGACCGCAGAGCCAAAGTCACAGAAGGAAAGTACATAGCTCAAAGTTTCATTGCTCAGGTAGTCCAAGGGAGAAAACTGCGCTTCTGCTTCGGCCATGATTGCGTCCTCCATAGCATCCACACCGGTAATTGCACTCATCTTGATAGAACACTGATACTAGCTAGCTAGTAGCTACTAGACAGCAAGAACTGAAATATGACAACCTTGGCCAATAACGCAAGCTTTGGGAATCAGAATTGTTCTGTTGATCCGTTCGACGATGACACGTATTACTTCTGGACGCGGGCCAGCATTTGTATCCACGTTCGACCGGAATCGAATCTCAAATCGGATCGGATCTTCAATCCTCCGTAACGTACCGTACGGTATTCTACAAGGCCTACTGCACGGCTGCACAGCACCGCTACATTTTGCCAGCTGGACCAGCTGCTAGCTAGCTACCGGTAGTCCAAACCAGGCAACGCCTTCGTGAGCCGTGGGATAGCGACAGAAAAGCAAGGATCCACAACGCATTCTGTCGCTAGATAAACGGTGGATACCATTGGTGATGCCGTGGAACTCCTGTGCCATTTGAGGTTCCGGTATGTCGCTCTTGGAGGGCTATGCCGATTCTTGCTCCGGCTTGGGATAACAACCATCCAAGTCATTTGGGGCAGCGCATGACAAGATACCTGCATCCTCCTCTCTTCAGAGTTACAGCTTTTTCTTTGATGAAAGCGAGGTCGAAGCCTTATGTTTCCACAAGGTAGCCGAACGAACAAGACCAGCATGTAATCCAAAACCAGGGAAACATGCTGATGGCCAAAACGGAAATATCGGAGGAGTGAGAATTATTGCCCATGCAGGAAGAGCAAATCTTCAGTGCCCTTCGTCGTCAAGGTTCAGAAAAACGTGCAATAGATAGATTCCAATCCTAAATTAATTGCTTGTCCGTACTTGGCAGGCATCGGGCTAGGACCATCAGCTATTTTGTTCGGTGTTCCTGCAGTAAGGGAGCCTTTTTTTTAAAAGCAAATCAATTCTGATGAGGGTCAGTTCTGCGATAACCGAGCGCCTTAATAACTAGCTACCGGTAGCAAATAGCTACATCGAAATCAGTGCAGAAATTTAGGAGACCTTGAAAAGTTCCACTTCAAACTTGAGAGTGGCTCCGGGAGGGATGGTTTCTCCTGATCCGGCATCGCCGTATGCCAAGTCCGATGGAATGACCAAGGTAGCCTTTCCACCTTCTTTCATCATTGCCAGACCTTCCTGCCAGCCCTTAATGACCCCATTGAGTGGGAAGGAAATAGTCTGTCCTCTTTCCACCGAGCTGTCAAAAACAGTGCCATCAGTCAAAGTTCCATGATAATGAACCTCGACGGTGCTCGTGGGAGATGGTTGAGCACCTCCTCCCCCAGTCATTTCGTAGTACACCAATCCAGAGTCTGTCTTGACAGCTTCGGGGTTGCAATCGCAAAAATTTGCGATAAAATCCTGTCCATCTGTCTTGACGCGTTCAACAATCTGAGACGTCCTCTCTTGCAATAGCTGGTTCAGTTGAGGTCCGAAGGTACCAAGAATTGTTCGAGGGTCTTGAGTGGCTGTCCCCTTGAGAGTTTCACAAAAGGCTTGCAGAACAATATCCATTTCGGATTCATCCAAGAGCGTTTTCAGATTGCCTTGGCCTCCTACTTGCATGGCCAAGTTCGTTCCCAGTGCATAAAAGGGCATCAGCTTCTCATCGTAGGGAAACGGTCCTGCCGACATGAAACGAGCCGTAGACGAGGAAGCAACAGTTTTCGCAAAAGCTGCACGGGACGAGAAGGCCCCGACAATGTGACGACTGGAAATTGCTAGGAAGGAAGCCATGACAATTGCAGTCGTTGAAGGCAGAATTTGCATCGTTCCTTTGTTTTTTCCAAAAGAGAAGGGGACAAGACGAATGATGGTAGAGTAATAACAATGATTCAAGGCAACTTGTGAGAAGCGATTCTACCAGACAATGCACACCCACAAGCCAGTTACTGTCGGAGTTGCCAATGATACCTACCCTGACACCTTCAGGTTGCGGTTGTGGCCTCTGTTGATGGTTGTGATTGATTGGATCTTTCTTGCTGACGCGTACGTACGGATCATACGGAAGATCCAAGGGCTAATAGCCAACAATAAGCCAGCAAAACACACAACAATGAGACTGAGTTAGAGTGATCTGGGTATTAATAAGACCGACCGTTCCGCGGAATATTCTCTTCGGGTCTGTATATCGAATATAGTACATGTAAAGAGGGGAATCGATAGAACACATGTAGTTGAGTATGCCATAAATCTCGCAGCCTCATAGTGTACTTATTGGTGGAGTTACCGGCGGTTGAAGATATCCACCCAACTGACACGAATTCTTTTCTCTGCAGATTAAAAGACCGATGACGTCAGTCGTGCCTCTAGTACTGAATCTACATAGGATCCTACGTACGCACCTCTATCGAGTGAAACTTCGTGTGCACCTCTATCGAGTGTCGGTATCTATCGAGCGTTGGTATCTTTTGCACCTCTATCGTCGCTCCCGTAGGGTGCTTCGCTTCCGTAGAGGTGCTTCGCACATGCATAAAGCACCTCTATCGAAGCACCTCTATCGACACTCCTTCTTTTATAGTTCGTCTACCGACACTCGAAGCACCTCTATCGACACTCCTTCTTTTATCGTTCGTCTACCGACACTCGTTCCTCTCAAGATGGCCGTTTCCGACAGCACTGACGAAGGCATTGACGAAGAAGACGATGGCATTGACGAAGAAGACGATGGCATTGACGAAGAGGATTACGAAGAGGATTACGATCATGATAGGGACTTCCAGATCAAGTACGTTGACCATTACAAGCAGGCTAACGTTACGGACTTCTTCAAGCAGAAAGGGAGACGCGGCAGGCCCAAGAGATCGACTCTTGCGAGTGAGACCGTTCCTGTGAAGAAGAGAGGTGTTGGCCGTCCCAAGGGATCAACCAAATTGCGCACCAGATTTGAATACAAGATATTGTCGCTTAAGGAGGAGGGTGATTCTTCTCATGTCAACCAAGCCTACGATCGACTTGTTGTCAAAGCAGACAAGGTGGCAAAGAATGAGTGTCTGTCTCATTTGCGTAGAACGGTGTTTGATAATCGTGGAGTGTTGGATCAGTGGAGTATGGTCCATGTTGGTCTTTATGCTATTCGCGAGACAAGTGCTTCGGCTTGGCATCGTTCCTTTGCTGCGGTCAATTTGGATCCACTCTCGAGAGTTCCCTTTTCAGAGTGGTGTGAAAAGATCGCTGATTTCATGATGGGGGGTGACTCCTTCAAAACCGAGGAAGCACTGGATAAGTATTCGCTTTTGCCATCGTTTTGGCATGGAATGACACCAGAAGAAAAGAAGGCGGCATTGGCCGTCTATAAGTTGCACGATTGTTGGTCAGTCGAATGCATCACTGCCATTATGGAGCAGACATTCGTCCCTGCCAGTCAATTGCAGAATTTGTGGGTCTGTATTGAAATGGCAGTGGAAGATCCTTCGCACTCGATAGGATGCTTCCCTCCAAAGAGGCAGTAGCCTTAGCGCTGTTGATCCAGAAGTTGCATCGGCTGAAGCCAAGCGGAAGACGGCTAATGATGGGCTGGACATGTTCCTGCTCAAGCCGAAAGCAAAGAAGGGTCTTGAGCTGTTCGAGCACATGTGCGAGAAGCGTACAATGTTTGATGCCAAGATGTCACCGTCAAAGATCTAGATGTGTCCATGTCGGAGCAGAACCGAAAGAAGCTGTCCGGAGCAGTCGAGACGGTGGCGGCAAAGAGAAAGATTATTCATAAGAATGTGGTGGCAACGAACAAGGAAAGCTGCCAGGAGGAGACTGGATGGGAGTGGCAAGGTTAAGAATCACGCTGCCTTGGTCAATGATGAAAAGGCCTTGCTGACATTGAAAAACAAGCAGATACTCACCGATAGTTTGGCTCAGATCGACGAGCTACACAAGAAGCAAGCAGTGGAAAAGAAACGCCAAGCCACAGAAAGCCTCAACAGCTTGGCTCCAAAGGCAAAGGAGAAGCTCGGGCGAAAACAGGTTGTTGCTTCCCTGACTAAGCCCGAGATCGTTTCCCTGTTGACAGTCTACTTTGGGTCCAAAGCGGACACCAAATTGGCAAGGGAACCTGGTAATTGAATTGGAGAACAGGATTGAGTCCAAGCCTGATGTGCTACAGGTACAGTTGAAGCCTAAAGCAGCTCCAGTAGCTGCTTTGGCTACTGGAATGCCCTAGTTTCAGCCAGGTCTTAAGCTATATAGCATAATAATAATATAGTCTTAAGGTATCAGCCTAGAATATTACAATAGTCTTAATCTACTGCGGTCTTAATGGGCAGATCACTCTACATGCCTTGTCTTGGCCTACAAGCTAGTACGTCACCGCAAATCTCAGCAAGCACCTGGTGGAGCTCTGGTTCCATGTATGTGTTCTGTAGTATTGCATGTAACAAAGGTGTGAGAGTGGGTGGGACACTCTACATGGATTCATGACAGTGTCAGAATACTAGCAAGAAACGTACTGTACTAGTAGCTAGGGTATTATGATTGGCACCCTGCGAGTAACTGGTGCAGATACCGATATCCCCGATCCCAATCAAAGGATCCAAGGACGGAACCTTGTGTCATCATACGTACCAGCTACCTTACCTCCAGAGATCTTAACGCTTGTTCAGTAATAGTATGGCTTGGTGCTTTTCTGATTATCATGAGCCGGAGTAGATGATAAGGCCGCGGCACTGCAAGTACATTGTACGTACCTCATACCTTACCCATGGTCCAACTGAATTTGTGCCTCTTCTAGCTACCGGTAGCTAGTGCTCTAGAGGTCGAAAGCAACCTTTGCCAACAGCTGTGCCGACTTGTGCTGGACAGGGCAAGTGTCGGTCTTTAATCTTCCTTTCCGGATGATACCACGCCTTCCTGGCTTTCACTTAGCTCTTTTTGGCGAAAGACGCCATGGGATCCTCTAAGTGCCTTGCCCATTCCCAGCCGAATGTTCATCTTCGCCAAAGCCTTCACATTTTCTGCCGGTTTCGACAGAATTGTCAGGCAACGGCGAGTTTTCATGGCCGCTTCTTTGGTTAATGCATGCGTGGGTATCGTAAAAGAGCCCTTTGAAAAAACATGGCGTTTGCTTTCCACAAGCGCTCCCCTGAGATGGTGTCGACCTTGGAAAAGTCAGACCCTGACGGACAGGATCCTCCAGGCAAGAGAAGGATGGAACCCGACCATGCTGTGTCCACCAACAAGCACTTGACTCGACTGGTGAGGTTTTCGATTCTGCAGGCACGACGATCGTCCCAATCTCCCAAAGCTGGAGGTACACCGACCAGTGGCAGTAGCAAGCCTCCATTCCCCGTGGCAGGGGTACCTAGTCCTTCCCGTGGTTCTAGCAATCATCGTCAGCGCTCGCCGTCGCCCCGATCCAGCACACCACCCTCACAGCAACAACAGCAATCACCTTCTTCCGCAAAATATCCATTCGCCTTTGGAAGTTTTCCACAAGACAAAGAACGCCCCTCGACAGAAGTTCAATACCCGTACAACAATGATGCTCCTGGTCAAGTGATCAGTCAAACAGGCATGGTGGCTGGACATGTAGTTGATGTTCCAGCGGATCCTCCCATTGTAGTAGACTTGTCGGCTTCTCTCACTCTTAGTGTTGGAGATGAGGAAGACCAGCGGTCTGTCTATAGTGGAGAGAGCATTAGTGACGGTTTAGATGCGATCAGTGCCCAAGAAGACCATGATCACGACGACATGGACTTGTTACTGGCTCCGGATTCGGGGTCAGCCGACGGACACTTGATTATGAACGAAAACAGCAGCGACGAAGTCTACAACAGTGCTGAAATGTACAGTAGCAGCGGCAATTACGAAGGAGCCTCTCAGAGCTCGGGCATGAGCTCCACTTCCGACTCCATCATGAGGCGGGTCGAACAAGAAATTGCCAATGCGAGAAAGGCATCCAACGATGCACAAGCTCGTCTGGCATATTTCACACAAAAGCAGAAAGAATTGACACCCGTCATGACTGACAGCTATTCTTTTGATTTTGAGAACCTAGAGACCTCGGGAGATTTGCACAACATGCTCGATGTTGGGAGCGATGAAGCGGCAACGCCTCGTCATCAAAACAATCCCTCGGCCTGGTCCTCTCTGCGAGATGACAACAAAAGTCCGAGGTCGCCGCCACCTCCCGGTAGTTATCATCATGCATCTCGTTCGCCGCCAGCTCGAAACTATCATTTTTCCCCTCGTTCGCCGGTGCCTGCTCAACATGCTCAAGAAGATAGCTATAACAATGCCATGGGAGTCATCGGAAGGGAGTTTGATACCAGCTCGGCTGATGTCGAGGAGAAGGTAGATATTGAAGTAGTCTTGGCTCCATCGCACAATCAGAATCCACAGCAGCGGGATGATCGCGAGCCGCATCCACCACAGCCGCCGCAATCGCCAACCTTCCGCGGCTTACACGCTGCCTCCAAGAAACAACAACGCAATACGCCGCCACCACAGAGGTCCCCACGTGTACTCTCTCCAGGCCACCAACAAAGACTCCGGTCTCCAAGAGGACAACTGAATATGGATGACAGCGTGGATATCGACGAAGCAGTGATTTCAGCTGTGTTTAGCGAAAAGAGCATCGAGTCCTTGCCCATCAAAGAAAGCTTACACGAAGTGTTTAGTGAACCCAGCATGGATTCTCTGCCCACTCAGCCGACGCAATCCAGCATTGAGAGACCCGGTTCCATAGACGCAAGCTATACGGAGAGCCAATCCCGCGCAATGTCTCCAAGCTCCTTGTCTCAGAGGAAGCAGCAGTTCATGTTGTCCCCAAACGGAAAGAACGCGACTAGTCCGTCGTCACAGCATTCTCAGCAGCAGCAGAAACAACAACGTTCGTTGCAATCTCACCTGAGCATTGAGACAAGTGGAAGTGCCAGCATAGCATCGCCCAGGAACAGCGTATGTTCTCCCAAGGCTAACAGCGTGTCGTCTCCACTATCGAATGTTGTGACCACTCCAAACAGTGGCACCTTTTCCCCTGGTCGTCGATCATCCAAGCTGCCTCGACGCCAAGGGATCCCGGCACACCCTCATATCGAGAACGCCTTGAAA